AAAGGCATTTCTTAGCCTTGAACTTGAGGACCAGGGGAAGGTTCTCTAACATTCCCTGTTCCACGCCTTTTGTCATTTATTTTTGTGATTCCAAGCTTTCTGCTACTACACATTACTGCACACTACATAACAGGGCTTTTACTTTATTGTGTTTTAACATATCTTTGTTATTCTTTAAATATTCATGTAGTTACATCTATTCATTTTTAAATTTGAAGGCTTTTTTCTTTTTCCTATTTCTAGATTCTTTTCTTTTTCCAGCTGTCTCCACCAGTCTTTCCTCTTTTCTCCACATTTACTAGTATTTGGTTTTACCTTACTTTTTTCCCTAAATGTTCATGCACACATGCACATACGTGTGTGTATATAAATGAATATGTGTAATATAGGTATTTGGTGGTGGTGTGTGTGTAGGTCATGAAACTGGAAGGGGAGAGAGAGGAGGTGATCTTAACCTGATGGGAAAAGAGCTGACTTTGGAGTATGTGTGACATGGAAGCCGAGAGGGGACTAACAAGGAGAAAAGGAGGGAGCAGATGGGCAGGACAGAGGACACGGGCGGGCAATGGAAAGGAAGGATGAGAGCAAAGTGTAATGACAGACATGCATGAAGAGGTCTTGGTGGGTAACATTACTTTGTACAATTTCCTAAAATATTAATTAAAAAGCATTTTTGAATGAAAAGAATGGTTCAAGAATGTATTTGATAAAATCACACAGAAACTATGTAAAATGTCATCAACGTCCTGCAGGTTCTGAACCCTGAGAACACGAGACACTAGCGGCCATGAGCCTTCCACACCCACTCACTTTTAGAGGCGAGCACATCCTCCAGCAACCTGTTCTGGTACACCATGCCACTGGCTGTAAGGAGAGAATCAGGCATTAACCTCATGATTCACCCCAGGAAAGGGATTTTCTATTTCCAAAGGACAAAAACAAATAAACAAACAAAAAACAAGACAAACGAAAAAGGTTCTGAGTACGGCTTCCTAGACCCTGGGAGAATACTGCAGGCTGAGTACGGCTTCCTAGACCCTGGGAGAATACTGCAGGCTGAGTACGGCTTCCTAGACCCTGGGAGAATACTGCAGGCTGAGTACGGCTTCCTAGACCCTGGGAGAATAGTCCATGCTGCTACAGTGAAGCAGAGGTGTCTCAGTTCTTCCCTGTCCTCCCTTTAGTTCCCTCCAGCTTTTCATCTAGGACTTTCCCAACCATTCACCTTTACATAAAATACCACGGAATGTTGAAAATATCTTCCCACTGAAATAAGAAAATAAAAATTGACGTCCTTTTTCTAATGCTAGATAAATGACTGAAGACACAGATGATTCCAAACTGTAAAGAGACAGCTGGGTTTCTTTCTAAAAATGGGACTGCATGGCAGTGTCTATTTTTTTAAGGGTTTCAACTATAAGTAGTTACAGAACTTTAAGAAAATTACACAAAACTTGTGGTGTCCTTCTGCCTAAACGCTTTACCTCCTAGCTAAGGTGAACAACCACAAACAATGGCAGTATCCTGTCTGTTTTGGGGGTCTCTGCAGCCTCCCTGACCAATTACTCACAGGGAGGGAACCTAAACCTAACACTAAGATTTTCACTTAATAACCCATGCCTTCAGGAATAGCATTGCTCACCCACAAGAGGGAACCTCTGCTCAAGTTATTTTTTTTTAAAAAAAAAGTATGGTTTTAATTAGCTTACAAACCAGTAGGGTTTCATGTGGCCTCCTAAAGGCTATTTAGGTTTTCTACATGCTTACCGTTAATTGGAAGCATGCTCTCCACGTGGGAGCATTCCTCGTCTGTGAGCTCTAGTCCCATTTGTTCCAAAGTATCTTTTATGTCTTTGATATTAACTTCTCTCCCTTAAAAACAAAGACACTGAATGGAGACATGAATGGATATGAGATATGAACATCTCTAAAGCTTGGAAACCAACATTTACTTATTAACCAGCGGCTTCAAAAGCTTCACAAAGAAGTGGCCTGCAACTGTTGCATCCTCAGACCAGCCATACACTGTGCCTCACAATACAGGAGCTTTAGTTGAAGGACGGAGTCACAGGGCACACAGTTTAGAGGTTCAAGGCCATAGATAGTTGACCAATTCCCTAGCTCTACTTATCTTTCATTATGAATGTTGTTATCTTTGGTTCTGACCACTTAAGAAGTCAGTTCAGTGCAAGGTGCTTCTGCCCCACAGCATATTTAATTCGACTAAGAAATTAAGAAAATCTGCTATTTCAGCTTCATTGCTTATATATTTGTTGGCAACCTACAACTACTTACCAGACGTATCTCTGCATTCTTTTTATTAAAAAAAACATTGACCAGAATATGATTCATCTGCAGGCCCACTTGCTCAACTCTGCGCTCAGGGTCTTGTAACCAATGTTGTCAAGGAAGGCTGATTTGGCTGACAGACTCGGAAGCTCGGTTCCGTGTCTGCCCTTGATTTAGATAAAGGGGTCCTTTCATGCACTCTACCCCAATCTCATAAACTTATCACATTCTCAGTTGTTTCTTATATTGTCTTAAAATGGCTTAATACCATCGTGTGCTCACAGCATTTTGACTGTGGCCAAACCTTTCTGTTCTGCATACTCTGGGCTGTCTTACATAATGTTAAATCCAAGAGTTTTGGTTGCAACCAGAAAAAAATCCCTTCCCACTGTTCACATTATATGGGCTAGGTATAGTGTAGAGTATATCTTGGAGAGCAGAGAAAGTCTGCCAAGGCACCGCATGGACATTTGTTAAGTATGGGAAACCCAAAGTTAGAGTGTTCATATAACTTATCATTCACAGGATGACTTAGAGTGTAAGAGACTGTCACAATAATTTCCATTTGTCCACTTCATTGGTAAATCGTAATTGTCTAAAGAAGAAAAACCCTTATGAAAGACATTAGACAGTTTAGGCTTTACAGAACATGAAATCAACATCACAGCTACTTAGCTTTACCACGACAGCATGAAAGAAGCCACCAGTAATACATAAGCTAAGGAAGGTGGGTATGGTACAAGAAAATGCTTCCCCCCAAATTATTTGGCCTAAGAGTTGTAGCTTCCCAGTTGGTATTCAAGATAATTAAATATTTTCTGAACTGAAATGGTAAAATGAGAGAACAAAAAGACATGATAGAAGAGAGCCTCAGGATGTAATTCAGTATAGCACAAGGGACAATAATTAGAATTAAGTCTCACCTATAACCTCTGCCACTGCATCTAGCAGTTGATTGAATGAAATTTTTCCATGAGCTACAAGAAAATTCAAAATTAGGTGTTAACTTCAAAATGTCACATATAAAACAAACCAGAAGATACAAAAGAAGAGATAATTCAAAATCCATTAACTTTTCACCTTTGTCTTTTATCTTTACCTCTTTATTGAGCTCAAGAACATAAACTATAGATTTTATATTTAAACTCCACATATTGGAGGGGAAATGAATCCAATTTTAGTGGAAAATGAGGGAAAGCCTTCAGTATTTAATGTGGCCCTTTTGAGAATGTAGAATTAAGAGACATTTTATAATAGATTTTTTTTAACATTAGATCTTAGCCAAAAGGCCAAAAAGTGTTTAACATTAAGTGTTATATATGATTAATTGAGATCTAAAGATCTGAAGCACTCTGAAGACAAACAATTCTTTACAGACAAAATACACTAGAAATCTGTTTTTGTTTTATTTTGCTTTGTTTTGTTTTGTTTTGTTTTCAGCTAGGGAAGATTCTGGGCTGAAGTTAAAGAACTGAGTTTCCATCAAATAGCAAGAGGATGCTCATGAAAATGTGAGCCTAAATATTTTGTATAAAATACTGTGAAATGGGAGTGAAATGTGAAATGGGAGTGAAATAATTAGTGACCCCAGGACAATATTTGGAGGATTACTTATAATAATGAGTCATCCCTTCCCATTCATCCTTAGCGTCTGAGTTATGGCTTTTGTTCTAGTCCTGGTGAGCCTGCTTCTAGTTGTGAAAACACCTGTGCTCACTTGTGGTTCAGCATTAACATCTAACAGAGGGCTGAGGCGGCCCAGCAGGTGGAAGGTGAGGACCATGTGACTTCACTACAGTCCTGTGAAGAGGCCGTGGTCACATGACTAGTAGTTAATGCCTAGCTTTGCATGTACAATGCTCTCCTCTAAGACACAAAGGGACTTACAACTCTCACTAGATGGCAGATACTCCATTAACCTTTCTTGCTCCTTTGGCGTGAGCTTCACTCCCAGGTTTTTCAGGACACTGTCCATATTATCAAGCTTGACTTCTCCTCCTTAGAAAATACACGAGGATAGAAAATGAGTTTAAGACACAGAAGTGTATTTTTGTATGTGTGCAATCTGATTTGAAAGGGTTAGCTGTTACTGTAATGAAGACAGAGAGAAAATGCACTTAAATGAAGAAGACTTTTCTGTTTTAACTTCCATTTATTCCATATAAGAGCGATTAATAATCAATATAAAAACCAGAAACAGGACAGCGACATGGGTCATTGGGTAAAGACACTTGTGTCCAAGTCTGAGGGCCTAAATTTAATCTCTGGAACCAACACGTGGAACGAGAGAACCAATTCCCCACCACAAGTTGTCCTCTGTGTGTATGTGTGTGTGTGTGTGTGTGTGTGTATGTGTGTGTGTATGTGTGTGTGTATGTGCGTGTGTGTGTATGTGCGTGTGTGTGTATGTGCGTGTGTGTGTATGTGTGTGTGTGTGTGTGTGTGTCCTCCTTACTATATCTAAGCAAAAATACCCTGACTTTTCTAACCATTTCTAGCAGTTTTCAGCAGGAATAAGCACAAATCTAGAACCTATTCACAGGCTCTGCAGGGTCTGGTGGTCTGAGAAGTGTTTCCAGAGCTCACCAACAAAAGGCAGCGAGTCCCGGAGGCTCTTGAGCTCTTCATCTGTGACCTCAATCTTCATGTCTCCCAGAACTCCCTTCATGTCATCGCTATGAATCCTCTTCCCTTTGAAAACACACAATCACTAATATTAGAGAGTAATCATTTCACAAAACGGTGAAAAATTCACTTTCTGACAACGCATCATCCCTATGCAAAAAGAAACACATTTATCTACACAGATAAACAAGGATCTTCATGTGTGGAGGTGGGGTACACCTGTTATCCCAGCACTTAAAAGAGACGCAAGAGGACCAGGAGTTCAAGGCTTACCTCAGCTGCACAGTGGGTTGACGATAGCCTAGTCTACCTGAAACCCTATCTCAGAGAAGACAAAAAGCCACGAAGAACTTTTTCTGATTATGAGACTAGCTTTTAACACCTAAGCCATCTCTCCAGCTTGTCAAAAAGAACTTTTATTCCTTGGTTCAAGTCTTTGCGTGTACAATGCTCTCCTCTAAGACACAAAGGGACTTACAACTCTCACTAGATGGCAGATACTCCATTAATCTTTCTTGCTCCTTTGGCGTGAGCTTCACTCCCAGGTTTTTCAGGACACTGTCCATATTATCAAGCTTAACTTAGAAAATACACGAAAAGAAAATACATAGAAAAGCAATTTGTTTTAATAATTAGCCAAATTATATTAAATTGTAGATGGGAAATTTATGTATTCCACCACCATTTATTGTATCTATTATCTTTTGACCTGAATAACATGATTTTTACTTTGTAGTGTCACTAATAATTTGACCCTGTCCAATGTTAATTTTTTTCTACTCACTATTTTTAAATAAGTAACTTTTGGCACTTTTTATCCAAACTGTCATACTAACAGAGAATTTAACTGAGTTGTTAAAGATCTAAACTCTTGTCAAGTGTTTTGTTACATAAAGGTGGAAAGCTGGAGTGTCATATTTGTATCGGTTAAGAAAACATTACAGAGGTTTCAGTTGAAAATAATCTGTTCAAAGATTCTCTACTCCATAACTATTCTACTGCAAAACAGTGGAATAGAAGACACTGTGGACCATCTCTCCACTGAACACTGGAGTAGAGAACACCGTGGACCATCTCTCCACAGATTAGTGGAGTAGAGAACACCGTGGACCATCTTTCCACTGAACAGTGGAGTAGAGGACACCATGGGACCATCTCTCCACAGAAACTCTCTAAAGATGAGCAAACAAGGAAAACTGTTTGGATTATGTCCAAACTCTAGAAAACAAGAGAAAGATTTCAGCAAATAAGCAAATGCTGGCAGAGGGGAAGGGCAGCTAATGAAAAGGTGAGGGAGAAACAGCTGAGACCGTCCTGTCTGCCAATCCAGCCTGCCTGTCCGCAGCTTTCCTTGTCAAACGTTTCCCATCATCCATCAGCAAAGACATTTAAAGAGTAGCTTACTTACCCGTAAAAGCTTTTGCTTTATCCATAAACTTGTCTGCTTCCACTTTCTCCTGAACTGTAAGAAAATGTATATGTAACATTCATTTAGAAATTTGAAACATTAAAGAAATTCAAAAGCATTTATTAGCAACTGAATGTTAGCCTATGTTCTCCCCAGAGAACACAAGGGATGAAGTAACATGATGTAAACACACTACATATAGACATGCTTCTTAAAACATTGGCCTTTATACACTGTCATAAGGGAAAGTGAAATTCTAACAATAAACATGTACAGCTTAAAGAGAATTCTATTTTATTGAATTCTTAGACTTTGGAGAATCAACTTTTTTTAATTCTAAAAAATAATAAAATTAAAAACTGAGTTTACCATTCATGATTGTTTAATCTAGATTATCTCTCACTCTACTGAGATCCAAGTAACTTAATTATATAACTTGATTTATGTGAGTAAAATACTTATCATTTTGAAGCCAATCTTTCGATTCTAATGATCAGCATATTATCACAATGCATAGTCCATGGAAATTTATAAAAACCAGCCATGAAAAGATATTAGTATGAAATACACAAAAGAAAATAATTATGTTACAAGTAGATGATTTTTCATATTTCATATGTTATATTTTATCATGAGAAAAAACTAAATATCTCCAGTATTGGTAAGTTACTTGAAATTGCAAGTGATATATTATAGCATTATGTAAAACATTTTTATACCATGAAAATTTTTAAATGCAGATTGTAGATAATTCAATAAATATTTACTGAATTAATAAAAGCATGAAATAACTTATTCAAAGTCATTAAAATATTTGCACACATATTATATGCATATATCAGTATCAGAAATACATGTTAAGAAAAACATTGTTACATGCAAATTTATATATTGCTCTTAGGTGGTTAAACCTAGGTCAAGCAGATCCTTTTTTCCCTTCCTGGACCTACTGAGACAGAATAGTCTACAAGTTATTTCTACAGCAGAGCCAGTGAGGTCAGGAAAGTGAAAAGTGTGTTTCCCTGAGTCACTGGCAGTGTTCAGACACAAGGAGGCAAAACCACTAAGTGTGGGGCTACTTTATATGAATGTATGTCTGGGTAGGGCACATTTCAGATATAGGTGGTCTTCTCTCATAAATTAAATCTCTTTGATATGGTGAATTTTACTACAAATGTGGCAGTCAAGGTACTTCTGTGCCTCTCATTTCACTGTGGATCTAGGCTTGAGCCTGTGTTTCAGGAGGCTTCAATACACACCCTTCACCTCACACCCCGTGTTTCAGGAGGCTTCAGTACACACCCTTCACATCAC